TGTATGTCTGCCCGCCCCTCTGTGTGTGCCAAGACTGGGGTGCTCACGCGGTGTGGGCGAAGGGAGAGTTCCCGAGCCCCCGGGGTGGTGCCTGCAGGAGCCTCTCTCTGCAGCCGCCACAGAGCACGGGGCTCTGCTCAGCTACCAGGACCTGCTGAGGACAAATGGTGAGTGCAGAACGGGGGCTCCTGGCCCCCCGGGATGTGCAGGGCAGGAGTGTCTGGACCCTGGAGACGGGTAGGGGGTGGATGGATGGGGATCCTGTGGTCCCCAGGGCTGGCCCGGAGAGGGGAAGGGTGTCCCGTGAGTCCCCGGGTGGTGACCTGGCGTGTGTTGGGTGGGCGGGGGTTGTTCCAGCCTCGGGGCAGATGGAGGTGCTGGCTGCCCTGAAGGAGGAGATCCAATCCTGCAAGAGATGCTGTAAGGACCTGCGGGCTGAGGAGGCGGGGCTTATGGTCCTGAGTGTGGCGATTATGGCCGGAACTGGACGAGCTGGGTGGGGGCCCTATGGGCTAGCCTCAGATGTCCCGTCCCCATCCTCCCCGCTTCCCAGGCCAGGGGACGCAGGCGCAGCTGCAGACCGCTCGCACCCAGCTTGGGGAGGCGCAGGCAAAGCTGTCCCAGCAGGAGAGCGCCCTGAAAGAACTGAGCGAGCGCGGTGAGGGCAGGACAGCGCCGCGACCCCTGATCCCTCCTCGCGCCTGTCACCAGACTCTCCATTCACATCCTGATCCCTCTGTGACCCCGACCCTATCTATCCTGTGATCCTGACCCTGCCCGCTGCACTCTGACCTTGACTACGATTCCTAACCCCAATCATAACCGGACCCTCCCCAGCTGTAACAGTCCTCCACCGTGATGTCATTCTTGACGGTGACGCTGACCGCGGACACGCATGCTGACTTGACCGAATCGGGACCCTACTCCTGACCCTGACCCCAGCTATGATCTGGCCTTCCTTGATCTTGCAGTGACCCGGGGCTTGGCTGAAGCGGGTAGGGACCGCGAGGGCATCCGCGCTGAGCTGTTGCGGGCGCTGGAGGCGGCCCGGCTAGGGAACGGTGAGCAAGACGGAGGGGGAGGGGCGAGGGGAGGGAACAAGTGGACACTGCCTGGGGGCCTCGGGCTTCCCTGAAACGTACTGCCCCACCCTTTGACCTTGGCCTCTTCTCTGTGGCTCCGCCCCTGGCCCGAGGGTCCACTCCCTTCCCCCAGTCCTCTCCGTCCTCTCCACCTGGGGGCAATCCCCCTCTTTGACCCTCGCCACCCCGCAGGCTCCTGCGAGCAGTGCCCCGCGTCGTGGCTGCCCTTCCAGGGCTCCTGCTACCTTTTCTCCGAGCTAAAGGCCCCATGGGATGAGGCCCAGCGCCAGTGCGAGGGCGCCGGCGCTCACCTGGTGATTGTCCGAGGCATTGAAGAGCAGGTGCGCAGGGGGCAGTCAGAGGCGGGAGGCGGAGTTCACCTGAGGGGGCGTGGCCCGGGAGGCGGTCCTCCAGGGCGAGGCGGACTCTGCAGGCTCGGTCTCCCCTCGCGCCCAGGGCTTCCTGAGTCGGAACACGCGAGGCCGCGGTTACTGGCTGGGCCTGAGGACCGTGCGCCGCGGGAGCAAGATCCAGGGCTACCAGTGGGTGGACGGAGTCTCGCTCAGCTTCAGGTGAGAGAAGGGACATGGGAAGGTGAACAGATCAGACCCTAGGGGAAGTGCTGTGGCCAGATCTCAGGGTTTTGGCTCTGATGGGCAAGCTAGACTCTAGGAACTGGCTGAGGTTAAATTCCGGGGGTGAGCAAGTTATATCCCGGATTCGTGGTTAGTTTAGACACTCAGGGTGTCTAGGTTGGACCTAAGCCATAAACAGGCTAGACTCTGGGAAGGAGGGCTGGACCCCAGGGCCATCCTCAGTCTAGACCCCCAGCAACACCGGTGCCACACCACTGCAGCCACTGGAACCGGGGGGAGCCCAATGACGCTCGGGGGCGCGAGGACTGCGTCATGATGCTGCGCACGGGGATGTGGAACGACGCACCGTGTGACAACGAGAGGGACAACTGGATCTGTGAGAAGAGGCAGAGCTGCTGACCCCGCCCAGTGGCCCCGAGCCACGCCCACCGCCGCACCTCCGCTTTTTTGAGCTGCTCGCGGCTACGGATCCGCCCACCGCCGTGGATTTTTTGTTTTCCCACCAACCGCAACTGACAACCACCCTGCGCAACCCAGCCCGGTGCAGTGCCTGCGCTCTGGAACCTCTGCTCCAACTCACCTGCGACCCCTCGCACAGGGACCTCACCTAGCCTAGGCTTCCCCGGCTCCAAAATCCCAGCTCCTTGGCCCATGATCTCACCCCACCTCTCTCCCTAGCCAAGGCCGGCTGACTGAGATGGAGCGGTCTGGTTTGCTTGCATTTTCCCCAGACTGGGAGGCCTCCAAGATAGTGGTATGTGAGCTGTCTTTGCTGCCCTAGGGAGCATCAATAAAAGTTTGAGAAATGAATCTTGGTTTCTGGCTCTAAGGAGCTGTTCTAAGCTTTATCCCAGAGACCCTGATGATCCCTGTGATTGTCCCGGACCTCCCTGGACTCCAGGCCCTACGATGCCAAAAAAAACCCAGGAGTAACCTGCACCGGGCGAGGAGGGCTGTAGGGCACTGGGGACACAGGAACGAGTCAGACCCAGTCATTACCCCCCAGGACCCCCTCATTCTGGTCTAGCTGGACACAGAGACCCTGTGAGCAGTGACTCAATGGAGGCAGGCATGAAGGAGTGACAGCTGACACATTTGGAGGAGCCACTTTTGTCCTCAGGGACAGGGACTGTGCTGACATACTGCAGTGGTGGCCACTTTCCTTGAGGAGACTGGCACCCCCTTGTGGAGATGACAGGCAGCCTGAGACAAGACCCTGGTGCAGGTGGGAGAGGGGTTTGCCAGGATCTGATGAGCAGGTCCCTTCTGTCTCAGGCACCTAGCTTCTGTGACCACTGGGTGGGACAATCAGGAAATACATCCCAGCACAGATGGGCTTTCCAGGAACAATGAGATTTCGGCATGTGGAGCTGGGAAGGGAGAGCTTTGCAGGCAGAGGGTGTTGGAAGGTGTTGAGTATGGCTGAGCACATTTGGGGGTGCGGGGTGCACGGAGCCTGGATGTATCAACTGGGGACTTTTGATCTGAATTCACCCACCACTCCCAACGATTCCTGATTCCATCCTGGGGACCTAGGGCTCTCCTAGAATTTCCGGTGGAGAGGAGTACAATGAAGGGGAATGGCAGGCTAGCAGCCTTTAGTTTGGGGCAGAACTGAATCCAGAACAAAAGGCGACTGGGAGCTCCCTGGTTGTGCAGCCCTGAGAGCATCGACTGAGCAGGAAAGGAGACAACACCACCCACCCTCCCAGGCCAGGTGGACCTTTCACTGCTGTAACCACACAAACCCCAAGCCTTCTCTGGGCCTCTACAAGTGCAGCCCAGAGCCAGGCACTGACCAGACCCAGGAGCTGCCTGACTCCTGGACAGATAGTATATGTAGTGGAATGTCGGCCACACTGATGGACTTCCAGACAGGCAGCTGGAGGAGTGTATGAGTTTCCTAATGCTGCTGGAACAGATGACCACCAGCTTAGTGGCTTAAAAGAACACGCATTTATTCTCTTACAGTTCTGAGGGTTAGAAGTCCAAATTAGTTTTAGTGGGATGAAATTAAGGAGTCATCAGGGCCAGGCTCCCTCTGGAGACCCAGGGAAGAATCCATTTCCTTGATTTTCCAGCTTCTAGAGCTGCGTTCCTCGCATTCCTCAGCCAATTGCCCCTTCTTCCATTTCAAACCAGTAGAGTAGCATCTTGCTCCCTCCCAGGAACATAGGACAAAGACCCATGAAATTCTTTAATATATTACCTCTTCCTAACATGAAATCCTAAATCACATCTGCAAAATCTCTGTTGCCATAGAAGGCAACAGTCAAGGTTCCAGGGGTTAAGACATGGAATCTTTGGGGGCCACTATGCAGCCTCACACGAGACATAACCAGATGACAAACAGATTCACAGGTGGGGCAGCAGCCAATACCTGCCTGGTGGCCTATGTGCTTGGTGAGCTGGGTCAATGATGGTGTGGAGGACTCACGGATTCTAGTCTCACTTCCTGACATTCACATGGAGACTCCTGGCCAAGTGAGGAGCAAGAGAGACACACTGACAGCCAGACTTTCTGCCTGTCAGGTTGACAGCCGACAGTCAGACTGAAGTTGTAGTGACAGAATTACAGCAGCACAGGTGGGCAGAAGGGTCCCAGGCAGCTCTCCTGGGGATTCAGCTGAGTGAGTGCTGGCTACGTGTGAGACAGAAGGAAGAGACCCCGGAGCCGCTGGGGGATCTTCCATGGACCTGGCATCGTCAGAGCAAGTCCTCTAGCTCCTGGTACTCCAGGCTCACAGACAGGGGTCCAGGACCCAAGAGAGCCCTAGGTCAGGAGCCCAGAGAGCAAGGTGGCTGGCCTGGAGACCCCCATCCTGCCCTCTGCACTCCTGGTCAGCTCACAGGCTCTGCCTCCCAGCCACCTGGCTCTAACCTGCCAGCATTCAGCAGGTACGTGGAGACCCTGAATGAGAGGGTCAGAGTCATGTTCCCCCCTCTTAGACTCTTGGCCCCACATCTTCCTCTCTCCAAGATTCAACCTCCCTGGGGAGAAAAGGGAGCTATAACCGAACCCTAATACTGGAACAGCCTTTGACCTTCAGTTGGTTTTTGTTGTCCTGGAGAGTCAGTCTTGCCAGAAAGACTGTATTGTACAGGCTCACAGGTAGAGCCTGGACACAGAGAAGCCCTGTGATGTTTCCCTGGGAGCCTGGCTGAGCCAGGTCAGCAGTCTCAAAGACAGACTCCCTTTCCTGGAGACACTAGAGGCCCTGAGATAGCCCCATAGGATCTGAAATGTACCTGCGTGTCTGAGACCCACCAGCAATTGTGAGAACACCATGATAGGCCCACAGTAGGCAGAATGACAAACTCCCAAATTGTCCGAGTCCTAATCCCCCTGAACCTATGAGTATGTTACCACATGGCAGAAGGGACTTTGCACATGGGATTATATTAAGGGCCCTAAGGTGGGGAGAGGATCCTGGAATATCCAGGCTGCCCAATGTCATCACAGGGGCCCTTAAAAGTGAAAGAGGGAGGCAGGAGAGCATGAGGGAGGGAGTCATGTGTATGGAAGATGGTCTGGGTGACATGATATGAGAGGGACCTCATCCACCATTGTGGCTTTAAGGACGGAGGAGCGGCCCGTGAACCAAGGATATGGGTGGACTTTTAAAGTGGGAAAAGGCAAGGAAAACCACTCCACGCCAATGAGAATGGCCATAATCCAGAATGCTCACAAAACCCAATATTCATGAGGATGTGAAACAACAGGACTCTCATTCATTGTTGGTGGGAATGCAAAATAGTAAAGTGCCTTTGGAAGACAGTTTGGCAGTTTCTTAAAGAACTAAACACACTCTTCTCATACTGTCATGGTATTTACTCAAAGGAGTAAATCGCCTGTCATGGTATTTACTCAAAGGAGTTGAAAAGTTGTCCACACGAACCTGCACATGGATGCTTTCAGCAGCCTGATTCATAATTGCCAAAACATGGAGGCAACCAAGATGTCCTTTAGTAGGTGAATGGATAAATAAACTATGGGACACCCAAACCATGGAATATTATTGGGCACTATAAAGAAATGAGCTATCAAAATGTGAAAAGACATGGTAGAATCTTAAATGCACATTGCAAAGGAAAGAAGCCAATCTGAAAAGCCTACATACTGTATGACTCCAACTCTATGACATTCTGGAAAAGGCAAAACTATGGAGACAGTAAAGAGATCAGTGGTTGCCATGGGTTAGTGGAGAGGAAGGGATGAAAAGTGGAGCACAGAGGATTTTTAGGGCAGTGAAACTACTCTGTATGATACTGTGATGGTGGATCCATTTGTCCAAACCCATGGAAAGTACAACACCAAGAGTGACCCCTGATGTCAACTACGGACCATGAGTGATGATGACACATCAACGTAGGTTCATCAATTGTAACAATTGTCCCACTTTGATGGGGGATGTTGATAACGGGGGAGGCTGTGCCTGTGTGTGGGCAGGGGATACATTTAAAATCTCTGTACTTTCTTCTCAATTTTGCTGTGAAGCTAAAATTGCTCCAGAAAAATAAAGTCTTAACAACACAAAAAGACAAGGAAACAGATCCTCCCCTAGAGCCTCCAGAAGGTTGCCGCCATAACAACACCTTGGCTTTAGGGCAGTGAGACCAGTGTCAGACTTATGACCTCCAGAACTGTGAGATAATGAATTTGTGTTGTTTTCAGTCACTAAGTTTAAGGTCATTTGCTACAGCAGCCATAAGAAACTAACACAAGGGCTTACCTGGATCTCCCCCATAACTCAACAGTAACCACCTATAACACTGCAGCCATCTGTGATGATCCCGTGACACACCTTAACACGTCTGTGAGTAAATGTACCTCCCATAGAAGTGACTCAACTCAACAAAAAAACACTGGAAACACACGGGATAAACTTTTAACACCCCTAACATGGCAGCCACCTGCCTGTCACCTCCCTCTCACCTGACAATACACACATGCGACTTACCTTAACTGGGGTGGCCATTTGTTTCAAACAGTCCTGGTTTGCACTTGTCCCAGGTATAATTCTTGTTTTCAAATGGTTTTTAAAATCAACTTTAATGAGGTTTAATTTATATACAATAAAGTGCACCAATTTATCACACCCATTAGGATGGTGTCTATGAAAAGAAAAATAGAAAATAACAACGGTTGACAAGAATGTGGAGAAATTGGAACCGGCAATGCACAATTCCTGGTAGGAATGTAAAATGGTGAATCTGCTATGGAAAACAGTATGGTGGTTCCTCAAAAAATTTGAAAATAGTATTACCATGTGATCCAGCAATTTCCTTTCTGGATATATACCTGAAAGAATTGAAAGCAGGGTCTTGAAAAGATATTTTTACATCCATGTTCATAGAAGTATTGTTCAGAATAGCCAACAGGTGGAAGCAACCCAAGTGTCCATCGATGGATGAATGGATAAACATAAGGTGCTCCATCCATGCAGTGGAATATTATTCAGCCTTAAAAAGGAACGAAACATGGATGAACCTTGAGGATATTATGTTGTGTCAAATAAACCAGCCACAGAAGGACAAATACCGTGTCCCATCACTTACATAAGGTATCTAGAGTAGTTTTACTATAGAAACAAAGTAGAATCTTGATTGCCAAGACCTGGGGGAGGGAGAAATGCAGAGTTGGTGTTTAATGAGTATAGAGATTCAGTTTTGTAATATGAAACAATTGTAGAGATTGGTTGCACAACCTGGTGAATCCACTTAA